GATACAGAACAGATGAAAACGCTCGGAACGCTGCAGTACGCTCGAAAGCTCAAAACGCTGACGCTAAGTATGAACGAAGCCTTGGCACGACACCTTACCTCGTTTGCTTTTAACATTTCTTCCACTGCTTCAGTAAGCTTGCTTCTATACAACGCAATAACGAGAGGATCAGCATCCTAAATAAAGCAATAATGGCGAAAATAACGCGCGAAAAGAGACAGCCATACCTTATCGCCTCCAGAGATGACTTCGTGGTCTGTTTTCGAGACTCTTCATCGATTGAAGCGAGTATTTTATCGATCATAGAAGGACTCTGCTCTTCCTTAACAATTTCACTCACTAATAGAAACACGGCGCTAACGTAGTTTAGCGGGTGGGGGGGGATGGGGTGGGGGAAGAGGAGGCCAGATACTAATGCGAGCTCCCCCTTCACGTTACCGCCGGAAAACCACCACATGTACATGTACATCACAGGTAAGTGTGAGTCTCAGACAAAACTCAACGCTCGAGCCAGCCAAGACTGACATTTAGACTTATTTTTCACCCGGCTAGTATGCTAATGGTTATACCATCGGGCTGCCCTTCTCCCTCTCACTGAAGCCTGCTGAAGCATTGGGGCAAAATCCACTAAGCTCAGAGGGCGTAAGACAGCCCTGGTGGTGTAATGGATGACATACTAGCTCGGTAAGCGTGAGGTGCGGCTTCGAAACTCAGCTGGGCCAGGTCTTTCGCTTCAAGCTCCACATTCTGCACAATGAGCTCCGGAAAGCGAATTGCGGTGAAAAACAACAGTTAATAGCAAACCGAATAGACCTTTTTACGACCTATCCAAGCAAATAGCAAGCTGCTTACTTTGACTTCCACAGGAGGAGCAGGAGGAGGAGTGGCCTTCTCGGGACTCGGTGTTTTATTTTGTTTGGCAGCCATCTGAGAACTTTCTCTCAAAGCCTGCTTCAGATCCTAAACACCAAATAGCAGGAGATCCAGGCTTTTGGTGCTGGTGCCTTTTTCTCGAGAGTTACTTAAGTCTGCATTCATACTATGGTCATACTTTGTCCCCCAGTGATCAGTGGCGTCCACCAGCGTTTCGAGCGTACTCCAGCCACTAGGAAAGTATAGATATCGATCTAGTGCCCACCAGCGTACAGCCGCTTTTTCGCGGACACTTGAATTTGAGCAAAACTACCTGTGAATCGCTGCTGTACGCTGGTGGACGCTGGCGTTCGCTAGATCGATATCTATACTTTCCTAGTCGCTGGCGCTGGCGTACGCTCGAAACACTGGTGGACGCTGACTCAAAGTATGAACGCAGCCTAATGCGAACGGTTCTATGCTAACCTCGCGATATTTTTGCTCTGAAGCATAATTCTCGTCGACTCCTTGCACGACTAATCCCGTTGTTGGATCCACAACCTGGAACAATAAGAGAACATTATTATTAAGCAGAGTATTAGAATGCCGCAGCCAGAGATCGTCTACCTTCTCCTTATTTCCCTTCTTCGCTTTTGGCCTCTTCTCAATGGCGTGAACTACAAGCTTTCCGTGGCCATTTCTTTACTACTTTGGACGCCCATTTCTTGAAAAATAATGTTGGTATTAAATGGCACGCTCTCAGCCGTTTCATCTGAAGCCCTCAGACACCTTTGGTTGAAAATAGGTAGTCCCTAGTCCGCGAGCCATGAAGGAATGTACACTGTTCGCGCAGCTCGGAAATTCGTGAAAAATCGTGACACGCCACGGTTCCGCCCACTGACCACGGCAGCGCCCCTGTTTCTTTATTGAAGCTTACTGGTGACGCGGTTGTTCTGCGCTACTGACTCTCCCACTCAGAATGGGGGTTACGGAGGGTAAGAGCTGGCCAACCAACATTGGAAAACTCCTCCGAACCACGCCCATTCCTCGTCTTATGCACGGCCAAGCGCGGTTTAGCACGAGATTGTTTCTTCCACTAGTGAGATAATGACCGCCTTGTCATTGGCATTTGAGTCGCAACAACTCGACACTTTTGAACGCGGGGTCGTGCACTTTAACTCCTCGTCCCTTGAACCTAGCGATATATAGAACTACATAATGTACGGTACCCTCATTCCTGACCACCTTTCCTTCGAGGCAGGCTTTGTATTGGTACAAACTCTCTGGTGAATTCCTCATCGGAATCATCATCAATGTTGAGGCATGCAAACTTTGAGCGAGACTCCATCTCTGAAAAAAAGGTATTATAAAGCAATCAGGCTCGAACTTCATAGCACAACTTCAATCTTGATATTCCATGTGGATGGGAGGTCTTCTCCAAAAGTAAAGGAGAGGGAGGAAGATAAATGGAGAAAAGAGAGAGAGATGAGAGAGAGAGTCAAGAGAGAGAGAAAAGAGGAGAAAGTGGTGGAGTTTCAAATCCACGACCGAGCTTTGGGATAGAAAACTCCAGAATAAGGAAGGCACAACGGCCCTGTGGCTCCCCCTATCACACACCTATATAAGCCAGCCTGTGCTATACATTCCTCTGGCCGCAGAGAATCCCACATCCACCACAGCGTCCACTGGCGAGCCAAAAATGAAAACCATGGGTATACGATCTCAAGGCGGAAACGCCAGCCGTCCCACCAACCGTCCAAGAAGAGGGAGGTTAGAACTGCTGCTAGTGGGGAAGTGGGAGCGAGGAGACTGCTGGGTTAAGCTTCGTGAAACTGCGGCGTGTGCAACTCAGCGTACTAAACAACACCGTACATCGAACCTTCTTCCCCACACTCTCCTTTTCTGGACGCTACCTTCCTCTAAATCGATATCTATACTTTACAAGTAGCTGGCGCTGACGGACGCTAAACGTTGGTGGTCGCTGGTGGACAAAACGAAACGAAACGTCTGGTGGTCCGCAGGTTGGACCGCTTGCCTAGCAAACTATTGAATCCCAAGCTAAAAGCTTCCATTGTCCCCGATCCCCAGCCTCCAGCGTGCTAAATCAAGGAGTTAGGCACACGTGAAGCCTACAATTTTTTCCCGATCAGGAACTGCTGTCGTCTGCGCTTTGAGCTCAAGCCTTTCTGGAGAAAGGAAGCACAGGCCAAATGAAATGCGGCCAAATGCACCCTAATTAGCCGGATTCCACGAAGCATCTCACAGAACAATGGCTATCACTTATAGATATCGGCGCTAGTGCAATACACAGGACCATATAGCAGTTTTCTGAAGTCCTGTAAGGCACCGAGGTGGATTGAACCACTTAGGGAACGGGAACAACAAATCCCCTTTCCGCCACATATGAAGTCTCTTACAACAAGTCACGGCTCCTTGCCTTCTTACATAGAAAATTCTTCATTCCCTTACCTACAAACGTCATCGCACCTCCTAGAATGAATCCCCACCCAATACAAAGAAACCGAAGAAAAAAAGCATGGAATTGGAGCTCCCTGCATTTCCTGACTTCACAACATGGCGCAAGACATGGAAATAATGCCGAAATATCCTCAACGATATCAAATTGTATCAGAATCCTTCCGATAAGAGAGAAAAGAAACACGGTGGCGCACGGCTGTACGCAATAGCGGAACCGTGCGGGATACTTTCAAGGATGCAATTGTGCTGGTCCTAGACGGATTACGCAGTTAAAGTTGCTTTGGCTGAGTATCCCTTTTTGAGACTGAACTGGGACGAATTTCTTTAATTCTTTAGAAATTTTTCTTTATTAATGGATAAACTCTTAGTTATTCTTTCTTAATCAACCTGTTTCCTGTTTTCATGAGCCTTTGCTTCGGTAGTTCATGTTGCTGAAGGGTTATTTCTAATTTACAGTGACCATTCTTCAATAAAACTGAAGTAAAAAGGAATAATTAAGGGTTTTGATTTTGGTTGCCCGTTCGCTATTTCGTGGACTTGTGTTTTCCTAATTCCATTTGCATGATACTTGAATTTCGTTCATTTTGTTCGGTCTAGGTCTTTTTATCTGGTTTTATTAAGGTAAAATGGTGAAGGCCAAGCAAGACCGAAAGGCTCGCAACGCTATTAACGAGGTTGTTACTCGTGAATACACCATACATATGCACAAAAGGATAAAAGGAGTGTGAGTGCTTTTCTTGGGTTCATTTATTGCAAACGGAATAGGTTTTCTCCATATGTTATAATGCAGAGGTTCAAAGAAGCGTGCACCTCGTGCTATCGATGAGATTCGAAAGTTCGCCAAACAGCAAATGAACACAGAAGACGTCCGCATTGACACGAGATTGAACAAATTCGTTTGGTCAAAGGGAATCAAGTGAGTGTTCGTTATTAGTTGTTGGTGAATTTCTTTTTTAGTTTCTATAAAACATTATTTATATTTTTCTTTGATACACCTTCTGTTTTCCTTTCGTTTTCAAGTTGTTAACAAATGAGTTTTTCCAACGCGATAGCGAGGTTCTTCTCCTGAGCAGCTGTGTGCGTTCATATTTTGCACCAACGTTTTGTGCGTACGGCAGCATTTTCAGCTGTTGGGAAAGTATAGGCAACAATCTAGAGCTTTGAGCATGCTCTAGCGGTTTCAGCCACTTGGAACTTAGTTATCGAGTGATCGGTCGTTACTTACTCGTTACTCTTCCGTACGCTCAAAGCGCTGGCGCAATGATGGACAACTCGATGCTCCCTGTTCCAATGCTGCCCACCCATGCGCTTGTCCTCCGCAGTTTCTGGCAGAGAAAACTTTCAAGAGTCTCATTGGATTAGGTCGCGGCGTTTTCCTCATGGCTTGAGCATGTATTAATTGGTAGGAATTATATTCGCTATTAGCGAACCCTAATGTGTGGTTTTGAAGCAGCTCGACGCTACTCACACAATGCTGCTTCGCAATGCAAGTCCGCCGTTAGACATGGCGACCTTGAAGAAATGACGAATCTGCTAAAAAAGAAATGTATGCTTAGATGTTTTTTTTGGCGAGTGATGAGTGACAAATGACGCGGCTTACCACCGCAGGGCGGCCATTTTAGTCAAAACTCGGTTGAGACTGGGCTAAGTCTTGCGATCATGTGGGTCCTATAATAGCCGGCAGAGATCATTGGTGCTCCTTCGGACAGTGTCGTTGTGAGGGCTTTTTGACGTGTCAGGATTATTGGGCAAGAGAGAAGTTCTGGCGTCATGGAATGGAATGCAATCTTCAAAAGCCTAGGGCCGCAAGGGTTTTATAAAAAAATCACGGGGACTGGGAAAAATCCTCCTGTGCGAGTAACTTGTTTGGTGTGAAGCACCTATGATTCTTAGACAAGACCCCCTGTACTGGTTGGTTCTACTCGTACTTCCCCAAATCTGGCGCCCAAAATTTACGCGTCATCATCATCAAAAAAAATGCTCACTGAAGTCAAAGCACTGCGGTAAGACATCTTAGGGCAAAGCAGCGGCGGATAGCCTGGAAGAGTTATTATTTTCGGTCAAAGAAAGCATTGTGTAGTGGAGGAGTAGACATCTTCTAGCCCATGTATTGACTTATTTCGATAAGAGCAGATGAGAGTTTCTATGCTGTCCTTTTGCGCATTTTGTGTACCCTGAACTGTTTAACACTTCATAGCACTTCATTTTCTTTTTTTATATGGGTGGGCTGGTCTTTCGATTGGAATCAGCGGTCATTTTATGATCCCTGAGCGAGCTCATTTCGCATTATACACTCTGCACCATCACTCATATCTAGATTCGGAGGGTAGCAACGCACATCGCCGTCAGTATTGTTATGGATGAAATTTAGTGGGCGAGAAACAAATAAGGGAGGGTGTAGTGTGATGGGAGTACCTGCAAGGTCAAAAAATCTGGTTAGGTTGCGTTCACACTTTGTGCTAGGACAGTAGGGGAGCGGACATTGAATATTACAGAGCAGTGTGCGCCAAAAGAAAGTCCTTACAGATCTGAAGATTAGGGGAAATAGGAGAATCGGCGAATTTCCGTATTGGCGGAACCGCCGTTCACACTTTATGAACGCGGCCCTAGTGAGGATAAAGGGTTATTCTGGTATGCAAAGACGTATCAGATGGTTTCTTTATTGACGTGCTCGGGTGAAACTCCTTTGCTTGGCGGTTTGTTAGGCTTCATTCATACATGACGGCTTTGAAAAAACGACGAATTTAGTGAACTGGGTGAAATGCAGAATCTGTGGAAATGCGGAAATCGCCGGCAAAGACTCAGAGGAGTTGATCGCTTGACCTCGCCAGTGAGAGAAATGCAGATTGCGCGGAATTTCTGCATTCCTGCAGATTCTGCGTTTCTCCCAATTCCGCATACCCTTCCTTTTTGTAATTTCTGCCTTTCTTCCGTCCACAGTTTCATGATGTCTTGAAAGTCGCCATATGTGAAGGCGGCCTAATGTGGTAACAAACTGACTCAATGGACACTGAAGAAATAGTGACCTGAACGTAAAGCTTGCATGATCCCACTCCTCTTGTCAGCCTTTCT